TTTGGGACTTAAAATGGAAGAAGTCAACACGACGAAAAAAACTTTACTCTGGTACTTAATAACAACAGCAAGAATGATTTATGCACAATTTTGGAAAAATGAAAAAGTACCAGAGATCGAAGACTGGATACAAAAAGTTCTGTTCATGGCTGAAATGGATAAAATTACAAAAAAATTACAAAAAAACTGAGTAATAAGGAAGATGACATATTTTTAGAAGAATGGAGTGACTTTAAAAAATATCTGGAAAAGAACTGGGATGTAAAACAAAATTTAATATGTTTAGAACAATATTAGGTTAATTGATGTTATCTGGAAATAGTAGCAATAAGAAAAATGATTTAACTGATGATGTATTACAATGTGGGTGGAAGGGTGGAAGCATTGCGGGAAGCCACAGGAGGAAGGGGAGGTAAGGGGAACGGGGTAAACAAAGGGAAAATGAAAATGAATATTGTTGGATGTTAAGTTCCTATTGAAAAAAAATAAAAAGTTTGTTTACCAAAAAAAAAGAAGAAGAAATGCATAGCACTGGCAGGGCTCTTTTTGTAGCAGGTACTCATTTGCATATTGGGCGACACACCCCTGGTGTGGCCAGTCCTCCGAGAGCTTACAGTAGCTCCTGTAAGAAGAGCTCTGTGGGGCTCTTGGAGGATTGGCTGTATTGGGGGGTGTGGCCTGGTGTGCAGGGGAGTTCCTGCTACAAAAAGAGCCCTGCCGGCTCTCTATGACAGGTAAGGCTTTATGTATAAGTAACTTACAATGCAATCCTAAGAACACTTTCCTGGGCGTAAGCCCCACAGGATTCTTAGTAGACTGGCTTAGAATTACTCCTTGTGTGGAACACCTTCCTGAGCAATAGCTATGAAATTCAGTCTTTCCAAAACTTTTTGCACGCTTTGATATGAAAAATAAGATGGGATTATCTTCAAACCTGCATATTGTCCAACTTCTTGAAAACAATTAAAATGTAAAATGTGAAAAAAAAAGAACGCCATCTTATAACAACTAACTATTTATTATGCAGCACTTTATAAATTATGATTGTTTACTGTTGAACTGTTTTTAGAAGATTTTATGTGATTTTAACTGTACCATATTTACCATTGTAAGCTGCCCTGAGCCTGCTGTAAAGTGGGGAGGGCAGGGTATAAATCAGATAAATTAATAAATACAACCCTCTGTGCTAGAGGGACAAATCTAGGCCAGTGCTTTGCTTGTGAAATTTAGTGCTTTGCTTGTGAAAATCTCAGAACTTAAAGCAGAATAAGAAACCTGCCCATAAAAAGGGTCAGTCTGGAAATAGAACCTATCGTAAGCCAGTGCCAGCTGATGAATCTACTCAAAGGAGGTGGAAATACCGTGTTTCCCCAAAAATAAGACACTGTCTTATATTTATTTTTTCTTAAGAAGACACACTAGGGTTTATACCACAAATGCATAGAAATCCTGCTAGGGCTTATTTTTGGGGTAGGTCTTATTTTCGGGGAAACAGGGTAATAGGCAAAAGGTAAGCAAGGAGGAATGCAGGGATAAAGATACTGTGAGGCAAGGAGAAAGGCAGCCAAGTCTTAAATAAGCAAGATCAGAATTTGGCCAGTCGAAACACCTAGGCCTCCTGCCTGACTTGGAAATATACTAAGCAGGCCAGGTCAGGAAGAAGGAATGGACCACTGTGACTTTAAGAATGTGAGAAGGAGGTAGCAGGAGAGGAACTAGCCAGCCAGAGGTTTTAAAGGATAGTACTACTCTTTCCTCTTCTTTGCCGCAGTCTCAGCTGCCTACAAGTGTCACGAACACAGAGACCAGAGGTCTCTTGTTTGATCTTGATAATGGGTTTTTAAATTAGATTGACATCATGTGAATTTGTTGACATCTATGTTCAGTGAATCAAAGACTCTAGAAATTGTGACTATAGTTGCAGCAAGTTATATTTTTTAACAGCATAGTTATTTTTCTAAAATGACTTTCCCTTCTGATACAAAATTCAAGATACATTCTTGAGATCAAGGTTTAAAATTTAGGATTATATTTAGTACATCACTTTTTTGTGCTGTCTTGTAAATTCCACTGTTTTACATTTTGACTATTTTTTTTCAGAAAATGGAATAATCAAGTCAGATAAAGTATTTGAAGTAATGCTTGCCACAGATCGTTGCCATTATGCAAAATGCAACCCCTATATGGACTCTCCTCAATCAATAGGTATGAGAGCATTTATCTGAAGACTTTTATATATGTTCATGGCATTATGAATTAAAAACACATATGTAAAAGCTTTACCTTGCTGAAGACTTGGAGTATGATCATTACAGCATTATAGGCCTCTGCCACAGGTTCCTCCTGGCAGTCCCCATATCCTCTCCCCTTCTTCCTTCTCTCCTTCCCACTCACCAACCAACCTTTGTTTTTTAGCTCCTTCCCACTTTCTGCTACATTTATTATTTAGCTACTTCATTTAGACTCCAACTTTCTCCATAATGGGAACCCAGAGCATTTTACATCATTCTCCTTTTCCTCCATTTTATCCTCATAGCAACTTTGTGAGATAGATTAGGCTGACAGAAGGTGACTAGCCCCAAGGTCACCCAGCAAGTTTCCATGGCAGAGTGGGAATTTGAACTTGGGTCTCCCACATTTTAATCTAATCACAACACCGCACTGGCTCTCAGCTTTCCCTCCTTCCCTCCCTCAGCAGCCTCTCCCTGAGAAATATCTGGCCCAGTTGCAAAAGTCATGTGGAAGCAAGTCACTCAGGTGAGTTGTGCAACTTGGCTAGGAAGTAGCCACCACACAAGTTGTGTTGATGCTGCTGCAAAGCCTAGGCAAGTTGTATGGCATCTAGTCATCTAGTAGCCACTGCCCCACCTGGGTAAGTTCTGCAGACTGCATGATAGCAAATTACCCATTAGCTGCTGGGCCTGGCCTCCTTCCAGGAGGAAGGGGAGCAGGAGTGGACTAGGAGGCCAAAATATCCCTGGAAAGGGTTTTCCCTTTTATTGACAGTGAAAGTCCTTTAATGCCATCCTAGGATATCAGTTGATATTCAGTGCTCAAAACTTTCTTTCCCTTTACTTCTGCCTGTTACTCTTTGAGACCCAATCTTGCCCTTAGGTTTCTAGGTGACATCTGTGGTTCAGGGTGCTTCATCTGCCATCTGTATTATATAGCTAATCATAGCTCTTGGTGTAGGAATGAAACAGCCATTATCATCCATGCCCTTGTAATATTTAGGATTGACATTAGAACTTTATGTGGAGCTGCACTTTGTCAGGTGTTCAGGTAGTGCAGAATTTGATGGCCCATATTACATAGGCCCCGGTCACATGGCTGGATAACGCCCCGCCGCAATTAAAGCCGCCATAATGTGATCCCACGTGTTGGCGGCACGCCACAGTTCCTTCCTTCCATGCCTGTGCATCAACGAGGGGCCGGAGGGAAAAGACGCGTCCGACGCGATCACACCAAGGGACTCTGGAGGCAGCCTGTGGCAAACCGGTTGCTAGTACCTTCGAGCAGGTAGTTTTTAATTGCGCATTTTCGGCGGTACGCCACAGGTTTGCCACGGGTGCGCTCCACTTCCCAGATGTTTCGGTGTGATCACACCTGGATAATTCGCCATGCAATCATTGCTCTCCCGCGGCAAATCCTCCATGTGAACAGGGCCATAGGTATGTTTTCTAGTAGGTATAAGTCTGTTTTCAGATAATTGCAGTAGCAGTTTGTCAGCTTCTGGATATGATTCTAAGTACTGCTGCTTATCTGTATATCCTTAAATGTTTAGAGGCGTATGGGTTAGGAGTGTGTCTCCCCATCTGATGATTCTGCCACTGAAATTTGAAAGTGGGACTCCCAAAACAAGTTTCATAATTTTTCCTTAAATCAATGGCAGCATGAATTGAGTCCATTTTCTGAAACCCCAGCTCAGACCAGGTGTGATTGTCTGGAAAAATGTTTTTTTAGACATAGCACTACAGAAATTATATCCTGCTCATATTTGTGCTATAGTAAAGTTGCAAATATTTCAGTGTTCGGTAATTCAGATGTGTGTGTTTTTGCCTTATAGGATTCCAAGCAACAATCAGTGCTCCACATATGGTAAGTTTTAAGCATAGCCACTAAATGCCAACTATTTGAATAATTTAGTGTTATTTACTTTAGGGGATATAAAATTTCCACAGTACATGCCTCAGAATTTCAAGAGACTTAAGTCTATATTTCATCTCTATATTTCAGCATTATAAGAGAACTTAAAGTGCACAAGGTAGTTTTGATAACATTTGAATTTTAATACACAATACAGAAACCTGGCATGTTGAAGAGGTAAGGTGCTTTCATACTCAACTTTTCATCTGCTGTTGACACTATTCATTAAGTGTACATTCTAGAGAAACTAGACAGTGTTTCTTGTAAGCCATAGCATTTGCATGTCCTCATGTTTTTTTCAAGGGCTGGTTTATCAGTTTTTAAAAAAAGCTTCAAGAGCAATTGCAGCAAAATACTCAGGATTATAGTCCTAGAGTTGGAAGCCATTTTATAGGCCATCTGTCCCAGCCTTTGTTTAATGCTAGACATAGAAACTCTTCTTCTTTTAAAAAATGAATGTTATTGAATTTTTTTTAAAAGTCCAATTAAAAATTAAGGGAAAAATAGACAAAAGAAAGACAGAAAAGGAAAAAAAGAAAATAAGAAATATACAGGAAAAGCTTTTGATTTTCTCTATGATAAATATTGGTATGATTACAGAGTTCACACTTGTTCTATTGTTATCAAAATAAAACTTCTCATTTTTCTATCATCCTCTTTTCCTCTTAGTCTTCAAAACCATAAGTCATCAGTTCCTTTTTTTCCGTTTCATGCAAAAAGTCAATGAAGGGTTTCCAGTTTGCTATAAATGTGGATAATGTCTTCTCTCCAATCAAGTAAACATCTTCACAAGCCATTCCTCTATTGTAGGCAGTGTTGCACTCCTCCATTTTTGAGCATATAATAGTCTTGCCACTGTTGTCATATATAAAAACAAAATACCATGTCTGTTTTATAGCTCTCTATCCTTTAGTCCCAACAAAGAAACCTCTGGTTTAAATTGTACATTAAAGATTTTTTGTTTTATTTATTTTATTCAATTTGTATCCCGCCCATTCCTGCCAAGGCAGGCTCAGGGGGCTTACATTAAAAGTTAAAATATAATAAAACACAGATTCATTACATACAAACGTGTCATAAAATCCACATACATAACAAGTCACAGATAAATACAGATAAATACAATACCTATAGGCCATGATGTAGCAGATATAACAGAGTATGGCCAGTGGATATTACTGTTGACATTGCAGGCATTTGCTATTGTCATGAAGGGCATTATCCTAATTCAATGTTGTTGGTAGTGGCTCTTAATCAAAGGCCTGGCGAAAAAGCTCCATTTTGCAGGCCCTGTGAAACTGTAAAAGGTCCCGCAGAGCCCTGATGCCATTTGGGAGCTCATTCCACCAGTATGGAGCCGCTACTAAGAACGCCCTAGCCCTATTAGAGGCCAGTCTGGCATATTTTTGCCTAGGGAGGATCAAATGATTTTGTGACCCTAAACTCAGTGCTCTCTGGGGAACATGCGGGGAAAGGCGGTCCCTCAAATAGACAGGCCTCAACTCATATAGGGCTTTAAAGGTCAAAACCAGCACTTTGAAGCAAATCTGGTATGCTATCGGCAGCCAGTGCAATGACTTCAGCACAGGCTGATCTCGTGTAGAGAGGCCCATCAACAGGCTGGCAGCCGCATTTTGCACCAGCTGCAGCTTCCAGATTTGGGACAAGGGCAGCCCCATGTAGCAAGCATTGCAGTAGTCCAATCTCAAGGCGGCCATAGCATGGATCACCGTTGCCAGGCCATTGCGTTCGAGGAAGGGAACCAGCTGCCTAATCAGCCGTAGGTGGTAAAAGACTGCCTTGGCCGTGGCTGCTACCTGGGCCTCCATTGTTAAGGCGGCATCCAGGAGCACTCCCAGACTCCCAACCTTTGGCGCTGGTACCAATGGCGCCCCATCAAAGGCTGGAAGTGGGATCCCTACCCGCAGTCCACTCCGACTCAGGCATAGGACCTCTGTCTTCGTCTGGTTCAGTTTCAGTCGGCTCAGTCTAAGCTAACCCGCCACGGCTTGTAACGCCCAGTCCAGATCTTCCGAGGTCTAGTCGGACTGGCCGCCCAACATCAGATATAGCTGGGTGTCATCCTCATATTGGTAACACCCCAGCCCATGCCTCCGGGCAATCTGGGCAAGAGGGCGCATATAGATGTTGAATAGCATTGGGAAGAGCACCGCCCTTGGGGCACTCCGCAGATCAGTGGGTGCCTTTGGGACAGCTGATCCCTGAGAGCCACCCTTTGTCCCCGACCTTGGAGAAAGGAGATGAGCCATTGCAAGGCAAGCCCCTGAATCCCCATGTCGGCAAGGCGGTGGATCAGTAGCTGATGGTCGACCATGTTGAACACCACTGACAGGTCTAACAGCAACAGCACTGCTGTCCCGCCTCAATCCAGATGCCTCCGGAGGTCGTCTGTGAAGGCGACCAGTGCCGTCTTTGTCCTGTGTCCCAGGCGAAAGCCGGACTGGAAGGGATCTAACATGGAAGTGTCATCCATAAAGCCCTGCAAATGAACTTGTATCCAAAAAGATTTGGGTTTGTTACAAGTCCACCAAAGATGATAAAATGTCCCTACATGCTGGTCACATTTCCAACATTTATTCATAGTATTTTTATACATTCTAGCTAAATTTTCTGGGGACATATACCAGTGATACATTATTTTATAGAAATTCTCTTTTAAGAGCAGGACTCAAAGTAAATTTAAGACTCAATCCACATATTCTTCCATTGTTCCATTTGTATATTGTACCCACATTTTTAGCCCATTTTATCATAGAATCTTCCACTTGCTCTTCTTTTGTCTCAAATTTCAACAGGAGTTTATACAATTTGGCAATAACATAATCATCATTTGTACATAATTCTGTTTCAAATTCAGTCTTCCTTTGTTCAAAGCCCCAATATCTTTTCTCTGTTTTAAACTTTTCTGACAATTCTGCATAGAAAAATCATTGACACATATAGCCTTGGGCTATCAGGTCTTCTCTCGACTTCATTTTATAGTCCCCCTGGGAAAAGTTTATTATGTCCCAGTAAATTAACCACTTTTGCTTAGTTATCATTTCACACCTATAAAATGCTTCCTGTGTTGAGAGCCACAAGGGTGTTTTCTAACACAACCTAGGTTTATATTTATTCCATATTCTCAAAATGGCACATCTAATGTAATGATTTTTAAAATCCACATTAACTATATCATACAACAAATAATCATGCCACCTGAATCTCAAATCATGTCCTTCCAACTCCAAAAGCCTTTGTTCTCAACAACAACCATTTTTTCATCCACATTAAGCAACAAGCAGCAAAATATAGTTTCAAATCAGGTAAACCCAGTCCCCTTTCCTTCCCATCTTGTAATATCTTATATTTAACTCTTGGGTTTTCCCCTGTGATATAAACTTAGAGATATCCTTTTGCCATTGTTTAAATGGTACATCAGTTGTCAAAACTGGTATTGTCTGAAACAAAACATCCTAGGTAAAACATCATAATCACAGATAACCTCTCCAACAAGGAAAGTTGCCATTTATCCCATCTTGACATTGAGACAGTGAGTGAACTCGAGGCTCCATGCACATCTTCTAGTCAGGTTTTGGATTATTTCAGTCCACTCAGCCTAGAGGAAGTTGACAAATTGCTCTCAACTGTGAGCCCAACCACGTGCAGCCTTGACCCGTGCCGTTCGTGGCTAATTGAAGCCAGCCACAAAGGGTTTCAAGGTGCCGTAAGGGCGATTATTAATAAGTCCCTCTCCAAGGGTCTGTTCCCTGGGGCACTCTAGGAAGTGATGGTCTGCCCTCTCTTAAAAAAAACATCCCTGGACCCGGCTGAATTGGCAAACTATTGGCCAGTCTCCAATTTGACTTATTTGGGCAAAATAATCGAGAGGGCGGTGGTGATAACAGTTGCAGAGCTTTATGGATGACACTTCCATGTTAGACCCCTTCCAGTCCAGTTTTCGCCCAGGCCATGGGATGGAGACGGCACTGGTCACTCTCATGGACAACCTCCAGAGGCATCTGGATTGGGGCAGGTTGGTGGTGCTGTTGCTGTTGGACCTGTCAGCAGCAATGTTCCCTCTAAGCTGTGGAGTTTTGTGAGCAAAAATTCTACTTTGTGAGTGACTGGCATTAATGTTGTGAGCAAGCGATTTGGCTGCTGCATAAGTTAGTTTGCTCTGGAGCCATCCTTCCTAAGCTAAGACAAAAATCTGTGAGCCAGAGGCTAAAAACCTGTGAGCTAGCTCACACCAACTCATCTTAGAGGGAACACTGGTCAGCAGCATTTAACATAGTCGGCATCAGCTCCTGATCCACTGCCTCGCCAACACTGGGATTCAGGGGCTTGCCTTGCAGTAGCTTGTCTCCTTTCTCCAAGGTTGGGGACAAAGGGTGGCATTAGGGGATCAGCTGTCCTGAAGGCACCCGCTGACCTGCGGAGTGCCCCCGGGGCGCCCCCTTGCCTAGATTGGCCAGAGGTATGGGATGGTTTGTCACCAGTATGCGGATGACACCCAGCTATATCTGATGTTGGGCAGCCAGTCCGACTCTATACTGGAAGATCTGGACCTGACGTTACAAGCTGTGGCTGGATGGCTTAGACTGAGCCAATTGAAATTGAATCCGATGAAGACAGAGGTTCTGTGCCTGAGTTGGAGTGGACCGGGGTTAGGGATCCCACTCCTGACCTTTGATGGGGCTCCATTGGTTCCAGCGCTGGAGGTTAGGAGTATGGGAGTGCTCCTGAGTGCCTCCTTAACAATGGAGGCCCAGGTAGCAGCCACAGCTAAGTCATCCTTTTACCATCTTCGGCTGATTAGGCAGTTGGTTCCCTTCCTCGAACACAGTGACTGGCAGAAATTGCTTCTGATGGGTCTTCCCTTGCGGGAACACATCCAGCCTGTGCTGAAAGCATTGCTCTGGCTGCTGATAGCATACCGAATTATCTTCAAGGTGCTGGTTTTAGCCTTTAAAGCCCTATATGGTTAGGGGCCTACACACCTGAGGGACCGCCTTTCCCCACATGTCCCCCAGAGAGCACTGTGTTCAGGGTTCCAAAACCGTTTGACCCTCCCTGGCCCCAAAGATGCCAGGCTGGCCTCAACCAGGGCTAGGTCCTTCTCAGTAGCGGCTCTGTACTGGTGGAATGAGCTCCCGGAAGACATCAGGGCCCTGCGGGATCTTCTACAGTTCTGCAGGGCCTGCAAGACGGAGCTCTTCCACCAGGCCTTTAATTAGGAGCCGCATCTAACAACTGAACGGTGGCAAGGCCCACTCCCCTGGACTACCTCCAGCAGCTCACGTTGTCAGTAGAAATGGAACCGATAAGCTGGAAACCAACTTGGACTATACTCTTCTTTGTCCTTTCCATCATGGTCACTATGATCTCTATGCAGATGTATAACTTCCAGCAATCGCTGCTAGCACTTTATGATTGTGTATAAGGATCTAGGTTTAACCATAATGTTTTTATAATTGATGTTATTTATGTCTTTTTAACTTCTATGTAAGCTGCCCTGAGCCTCCTCCGGTGGGTAGGGCGGGATATAAATTGAAGGAATAAATAAATAAATACATTTTAAAACTTCCTTCCAAGTCTTCACGTAATTATTTTGAAATAGCATACAATTCATGTTTGTCAGCATAATACCCAACTATTTTACCTTCTTTTCAACCTTAAAACCAGTTTTTTCATCCATTATATTTGATCTTCTGTTTTCATATTTTTTGTTAACACTTTTCTTTTCTGTTCATTAATTTTGAAATTTGCTAGTGCACCAAATTCTTTCAGCTTAGCCATCAGTACTTCAATCCCTTTTAATGGTTCTTCCAAAACTAAAACCAAGTCATCTGCAAAAGTTCTTAACTTGTAAATCTCTTTTTAAATCTTTACTCCCCCAGTCCTCTCATCATATCTTATATCTCTATTCAATATTTCAAGGACCAAGATAAACAAAATAGGGGACAGTGGGCAACCTTGTCACATGCCTTTTTGAATCTCACAAGGTTTAGTTAAATCCCCATTGACAATTATTTTAGCTGTCTGTGAAGTATAAATTGATTTCACCCATTTTATGGAATTCTCACCAAAATTCATCTTTTCCAAAACCTTTAACAGAAAAGTCCAGTTCAAATCGTCAAAGGCTTTCTCAGCATCTAGAAAAATCAAAGCTGCTTGTTTGTCATTATGTTTTTCCAAGTATTCCAAAATATCTAATACAGCTCTAACATTATCTTTCAGCTGTCTCTTAGGTAAAAAGCCACATTGATCTCCATGAATAAAAGCCTGCAGAGTTAATTTTAATCTTTCCACTAAAATTGTAATAAACAACTTATTGTCATTATTCAATAACGAAATTGATGTATAATTTAATGTTAGAGTCAAGTCTTGTCATTTGGTATCAGTGTTATATTAGCCTCTTTCCAAGTCTGGCATCTTTTCCCCCTGTCAATTTCAGTCTCCATATCTTCCTCATCAACCTCAAGAAGTTCTGCCAAGGCTTTGATAATTCTTTGTCTTATAACTTCATCAGGAAACTCTGAATATTTATTTACGGTCATCAACCATTAACAGCTATTTACATATAATTACAGCAATTCCAAGTAACGAATCACATTAAATTCCAACGTAGGATGTAAGGTATAATAAATACATAATACCATTTAAACTATACATTAAAATCAATAAAAATTTAAAATTATGCCAGAAGGCGAAAAGAGAAGAGCCCCTATGTATGTATGGTTCTGTTACTTACGATGGAATTTTATCACATAAACACAAAACTTGGGTATTTTCCTGGAGATTCTCATCTATTAAAAGTTTCTCCAGGCAGGCCTTATCCACAAATACTGTTGGTCTATCTAAGAGGGGAGAAATAATGTCCTGTAGTTCTTCATAAAAGGGGCAGTGGAAAAAGACATGTCCGGTGACTCCACTTCACCCATAGTGCAGGGACAAAGTCTTTCCACATATGGGATGAAGAAGAAGGAGAGATTGGATTTATACCCTGCCCTTCACTCGGAGTCTCAGAGCAGCTTACAAACTCCTTTCCCTTTCTCTCCCCATAACAGACACCCTGTGAGGTAGGCAAGGCTGAGAGAGCTCTGAGAGAACTGTTCTTGAGAGAACAGCTCTGACAGAACTATGGCTTGTCCAAGGTCATCCAGCAGCTGCAAGTGGAGGAGTGAGGAATCAAACCCGCTTCTCCCAGATCCACGCACTTAACCACTACACCAAACTGACTCTCCCTACTAGTATCTTTTTATATCTCCCTTCTAGTACTGATGATGGCATAGCCACACATCTGGCCAGGGTAAATGCTCTCCTATAAGAAGGGAATATCTAACTGGCTAAGATATTGGGCCATGGTCATAACATATCTAAGCTTTATGGGAGCCATAAAGTTTGGTGATTTCATTAAATCTTGTTGGCATCTACGTCTTGAATCCTTTGTTTAATAATGCATTTTGCCTGATCAGAAAACTCTGGAATAGCTCTAAGCCTGAAGCAGAATTCTTTCTCTCTTAATTCTAAAAGGGCCTTTCTAACTCTTTTTCGAGCACTTCTGTTTTACTTTTTAAAGTTTCTACTTTATATTGACTTTGTCAACTTCTGTAGAAATTTGTTTTATAGAACAGTCCAGTTTTTAAATCTGTTCTGTCATTTCATTTTTCAGTTTCACAAAATTGTCCTCCATTTTCTTTTCAAATGCATCAAACCTATTACCCATCTGTTCAAATAATTTATGTATCAACTTACGTGTAACTGGTTTTTCAGAAGTTGGATCAAGTGAGCCAATCCTTTTCCTTGTGCCTTGAAACATTGTCACTTTAAATCCTAAAACAAAGCTCTCTATCACTTTAAATCTTGAAGCAAAACTCTCTTTGCCAACTGGTTAGATAAAGAAAGAATACATCTTTGAATGTTCGATATGTTTACATTCCACAGTCTCATAAAGTCTCCATAGTAACACTGCATCACATCTTTGTTATTGAAGAGTCTCCAATTAAATCCAGACTAAACACATTGTCCAGATGCCAGTAGTAAGAAAAAGGTTTTAACTGGCCCCTCTGTCCATTTTTTAAAAACTTTCTTACATTTCTTTCTGTGAATAAGTCTCAAATAATAAATTCCTTAAATCTCTGTTAAACTTTTTTCTGAGACTCTCACCATAAGCTGTTTGTTTCTTTCATAGAAGAAAATCTGTCTTTGTCAGTAATGTTAATTAAATCCTTTGAAGTTAAAAGGATGAGAGTCAGCAGGACTTAATGTCCTCTTATGACTTCACCACAGTTGTGAGCAGTGCTGTTTTCTTTGGTCTCCGGCACTCAGACTCTCAGGCAACCGCACAAGCCTCCACTTCCGCGGTTCACCTTTAGAGGAGCTGCTGACACAAGGACAAATGGTTACTCTCTTGCTCTCTCTTTGATCTAGAGAGACATTCAGCTGGAATTTGCCATCCAGCCAATAACTTCTGTCGTGGTGTGTCTCCATATTTGTGGGGACGCCCTCTTACCAGAAGTCCGAAATAGAAACTCTTCTGATAGTTGGCTGTCACTGTTTGAGAGAGCCCCCACCTGATAATTGGTTCCAGTGTCATACTGCTCTTACCATTAGGAATTTTCTCCTGCATTCTCACTTGAAATCTACCCTTCTGTAACTTAAATCAGTTACATGTGGTCTTACTGTGGAAGAGCAGAGAACAAATTTTTGCCCTCTTCCATGTGGCAGCCCCTTCAATGCTTGACGACGGTTATCATGTTGTAGCTTGAACTTATACCATTTTCGTACTTGGCTTGGAGGCAAGGTTTTTCGACATAGTTAGAGAATGTGTGGAACTCCCTTCAGTATCAGTTTCACCAACACCTTATTATTTTCTTTTTTGAATTAAAGTATTGCTCTGCATTATCAGTGGTGACTCGCAGATTACTTTATGGAACCTGAAAAGCTTATGTGGAGCAAAAAAAAAAAGAGTTGGGGCAAGAGACTGGAGGAAATGTGATATGGGATACATATGAGGAGGAAAAAACTGTTATCTAGTTAAGTCCAGGAAGGAGAAAAAACAAAGTGCTGTTCAGTTAAGGAAGAGCCTGCTGGAAGACAGCTGAGTGACAAGACAACTTTGCAGGGCAGCTGCCTCCTGCTCTTTACAAAGCTCTCAGTTGCTGCACAGTAGCAAATTGTGTGTAGGTTCCAACCATGGAGAATGATCCTCTCACTTCTCTCCTTCTGCTGCAGCTAGCCACCCGACATGTTGTTCCAGGGGGAGCCCCAGGAGCAGCATTTTGATAGACATTAGGGGCTGCAGCAGGAGGGAAGCAAAGAATGTTGCACGGTGGATAGGAATCCGTCCATGTAGCGGATCCGAGGCTTGGTCTTTTTCTTTGTTTTTGGTTTCCTTCTTTCCAAGACAGATGGATAAGGTTAGCAAAGGGAAACCATTTTTTAAATTTAGTGGAAGGGGTTTCTTCTATTCCAGCACAAACTATTTTAAGAAGTTTTAATTATGTTACCTGTTTAATTGTGTAGCAAGAATGAATTCCAAGATGCTGCATTTCACCAGCAAATGAACTGACATGATGGGTAAATCTTGATATTCTTAACAAGGGAAATGGAGGTCCCTGAACTCAAATTTTGAAGATAAGCAAATGGGGCAGGTAGAACCTTGTTTACAATCCAAATTATTTTCTAATTTTATCTTTCCCATTTTGGAAATGTAAGCCTTTACTGAAATTATTTGCTTTTTCTCAAGAGTTTCTCTTTGGTTTGAATTATGTGTTGAAGTCTTCATGGGAAAAAACATATACTGGGCAAATCAAGTGTACCATTTTAAAATCTGTACCTTTTTTCTTTCATAGCATGCGTATGCTCTAGAACTCCTGTATGACCAGTTATATGAAGGTGCCAAAGCCCTTGATGTAGGTTCAGGAAGTGGAATTCTTACTGCCTGCTTTGCACGGATGGTGAGATAATTAGTTGTTACTACTTTGGGGGAATTTTATAAAACTCATTGGGCTGTTGATTTCTGCTTGTACACTCCTCTGCTTTCCTGTTTTGGTTGTCAAACTTAATTTGGATACATTCATACTCTTAATTTGTGCTTATTGAGGGAGAGTAGCGAAAGCTATTAAGCCTGTCCGATAAAGATGAATTTCTTTGTGTATAACTACAAGTTTTCTTTATGAAAAGGAACAGGGGTCATTTCGTAGAAAAAGAGCTGCAGGAGCTACTAGGTTATTGGTATAATAGCTCATTAGCATATGCAACACCCCCTGACATTACCAGAATTGATGTCAGAAGGGGAAGCAAAAGGGGGAGGGTAGGCATCTTCAAAAGCCTCCCCTTCCCCAGCCGGCCGGGGGGGGGGCAAAGAGAGAAGGGGTTTAAAGTATAAACCCCTTCTCATGAGTTGGGTGGCAAAAGGAAGAAAGACGGAAGGAAAGAGAGACAGAGTAGAGAGAAGGAATGAAGGAAGGGAAGAGGGAAGAAAGAGAATGAAAGAAGGAAGGAAAGAGGGAAAAGAGAAGGAAAGAAGGAAGAAAAGAGGAAAAGAAAGAGAAGGAAAGAAGGGAAAGAGGAAAAGAGAGGAAGGGAGAGAAGGAAAGGAGGGAAAGAAAGGGCAAAGAAATGGGGAGAGGGAGGCTCTCCCACCCCCCCAATCAAGCCCCACCCCCACCCCTGCGGATCCCTCACTTACCCGGGGAGGCGATGAGGGGGCTTCTTCAGCACTCCGGTACGGGCCCGGGGAGATGGTGGGGGGGGCTCTTCTGGCCTCCCACGGGCTGCAGTGCTCCAGCGCGGGCCCGGGGAATCAGCCAGGAACGCTCTTCTGGCCTCCCGCGGGCCGCAGCACTCTGGTGCAGGCCCGGGGAAGTGGCGGGGGGACTGTTGGCCTCCTACGGGCCGCAACGCTCCGGCGTGGGCCTGGGAAAATAGCGGGGGCCCTCTTCTGACCTTCCGCGGGCCGCAGCGCTCCGGTGCGGGCCCAGGAAGATGGCAGGGGGGCTCTTCCGGCCTCCCGTGGGCCGCAGCGCTCTAACGCCGAGCTGAGAAACGCGGCAGTGGCGGGAAGGGGGCGGGGCTTGGTCATGTGCCCACCCCTCCTCACTCCCGGAGCGCTGCTCCGGTGCACTCCGGGGCCAACCAACCCCTGGGAAGGAACGTAACTTTATTGGGATGAAAAAAATATTTTTAACTTTAAAAAATATTTCTCGTGGTCAAAAAGCCCCCACCTTTTAATAAGAATAAACACTAATCTTTCTTACATTGTCTCAGACCATTGGTTCATTTAGCCCAGTGCTGTCTGTTCTGGGCAATGGTTGTTCAGATTCTGAGGCAGAGGCCTTTTTTAGTCTTGCTTCCTGAGACCCTTTAACTGGGGGTAGTAGGCACTGAACTTGGGGTGTTTTGCACGCAAAATATGTGCTCCTATGTGTGACCCCCCCATTTCTTTTTGTGAATATTTTTTCATCAGTCTTTTAAAAAGAATTATGCAGATGTCAGGGATAGGAACATTGACTGTTGATATTTCCCTGTATGTTTCTTGACTAGAACGAGTCTGTTATCTTCTCAATAATGTTCTTCAACAAACATTTCTTTAAGAAGGGAGTGTCACTGTATAGTGGTACTTCTAAATCATATCAGATGAACTTTTGGGAGGACCCATGTATTCCAGAATTAAATTGATGAAACTAAAAGAGAGACATATTTACACTGTATTCAGCTTAATTGCCAGAATAAATAAATACACTAAATTAATTTGTGCATTCTGTACTTGTCATTATTAGAGGTTCCAGATCAAAATAATTGAAATGGATGGTAGAGTGACCTGAATATTTTTTTGCTGTTGTGTGTGTCAGCTTTCTCTATTTATGAATTGAGGAATACTATACAAGTACCAACTAATCTGAAAATGATTTATTAAAGGATATAAATAAACAGAGCAACCCTCATAAAACTAGTGCTGTTTTATTACTAACTAGCAGTAAAGCCCGTTGTGAAAGCAATACAACGGGATCTAGAAAGAGGCTCTGGGGCAGTGCTCTGGCTTTGGGCAAACAGTGTCAATTTGCTGTGGTGACCTCAGCAGGGTATAATGACAGAGTCCACTGTTTTCTCCAGAGGAACTGATCTCTGCTACCTGAAGAGCAGTTGTAATTGTGAGTGATCTGTAGCCCTCACCTGGAGATTGGCAGCAATTGTTACCCAGGACAAAATGGCTGGTTTGGAGGGTGTAGTCTATGGCATTCTACCTGTCTGAGGTCCCACCCCTCTGCAAACCCCACCCTCTCCAGGCTCCACCCCTCAAATCCCCAGGAATTTGTCAGCATGTAGTTGGCAACCCCATCTCCTTCCCAGCTAGCCACCAACCTACCATTATCTGCCCCTTTGACTTCAGCTGACTTCTGCCCTCCCTTCTGCAGAGCAGTTGTAATACTGAGTGCTCTCCAGCCCTCACCTGGAGATTGGCAACAATGGTTCCCTATGTGGGACTGACTGGTTTGGAGGGTGGAGTCTATGGCAGTGTACCTGTCTGAGGTCCCACCCCTCCTCAAACCTCACCCTCTTCAGGCTCCATCCCTCAAATCTCCAGGAATTTCCCATCTGGAGTTGGCAACCCTATCAGGACTGGCCCCAATGTGTTTTCTCCCAAAGGCCAAAGTAGGTGACAGGACCAAGCTTAGTTGCCTACCAACAGGCACTGAGGGGAATGTAGGGTTGCCAGCTCTAAGGAGGGAAATACCTGGAGGTTTGGGGGGTGGATTCTGTAGAGGGCAGCATTGGGCAGG